CGGAACAGCGTTTATCACGGCCTGAGCGGCGGCGAAGGGTGCGGGAACACGTCAGACCGGGGCAGTCACTGACTACAGCAGCACTACAAGCACCCAACGTCACACACTGGCCGAACAAAGCTGTGACAACCTTTCATGACCGGCACACATTGTCCAGTGATCCAGCAAGTAGAGCATGCTGTCAACCATGGACCGGGCGACCTCGCTGTTTCAGTTATGCTGGTATCGTGCCTGTGTGGGGACCGGCTGCGGTTCCACACGAGTGTGGGAGCCCCAGCCGGTCCGACGGGGATCGCACGCCCCCCCCCCCCCCCCGACAGCACCCCTCGGCACTCACACTGGCGCCGGCGTCGACGGCGTCCATCTGGGTGATCTGCTGGCCGGAGATGAGCGCCGTCTGCAGGTAGCAGGCGGCCAGCACCAGCGGCACGAACGGCAGCAGCACGGCTGCCAGCCGCCAGCTCAGGTAGGTGGCCAGCGAGACGGAGAAGGCCAGCGTGGAGACGGCCTGGGCCACTGTGCCCAGCCGCGGCCCGCACGCCTGCACGCGCCCAGCACCGGTGGCGCCGTCAGTCAGCCGGCCGACGCCGTGCTACTAACCCACAGCGGCTTATGCTCGTTTTTACGACCTTGGAGATCTCAAGATCATAGCTGTATTGGGGGCTTAAAAAGCAATGGCTACGTTGAAAATCACACTTTATGCACATTCTTTCCAGCATCGATGGAGACAATCGCGATACTGTTTATGATCAGCTTGGTTTAGTCCGCGTTGCGGTAGCCTCTTTCGCCTCCGTTCATTTACCAGCAGCTGCGCGCAAACAAGATGCGGAGCGCGATGTGAAGGTGAAAAACATGTATGCGAGTTTGAGAACAGCCTCGGCAGAAATCCATCCGGCACAGCGAGAGCTGGCGTCCGGACATCTCACGCCGTGTATGTTTGAAGAGTCAGTTGCCAGCCTCGAGCAGAGGGCGCCGACGGAGTTGGCCGGCTCGTCGAAGAACGCCATCTCTTGGCGAAGAATGGCGGCGATGGTCAGCTGCCGCAGCCTCGTGGTCAGCTGGAGCCCGGCCACTCCGAACATGACGCTCTGTCGGGCATCAGTCAGCTGATGTGCCAGACCAACGGCCACTGGATGCCAGCCACCCCAGAATCCCACGACTCCAGGCGCAGGGTCGCCCGACGGAACACATACAAACGCTATCATTCGTGGAGGATGCTGTCTTTGCCAGTTAGTGGGAGTTTTAACGTAGGACACAATCGGAATGCAAGGCGACGCAACACGTCATACATACTCTGGCTGAGTCATACAAACCAGAAGAACACGGCAGGCTGAACACACCAATCACGCGCTGAGCCAGACAAACCAGCAGAGCACGGCAGGCTGAACACACCAATCACGTGCTGAGCCAGACAAGCCGGCAGAGCACGGCAGGCTGAACGCACCAATCACGCGCTGAGCCAGGCAAACGAGCAGTCCACGGCAGGCTGAACACACGCGCTGAGCCAGACAAACCAGCAGAGCACAGCAGGCTGAACACACCAATCACGCGCTGAGCCAGACAAACCAACAGAGCGCGGCAAGCTGAGCATACCAATCACGCGCTGAGCCAGACAAACCAGCAGAGCACGGCAGGCTGAGCACACCAATCACGCGCTGAGCCAGACAAACCAGCAGATCACGGCAGGCTGAACACACCAATCACGCGCTGAGCCGGACAACCAGCAGAACACGGCAGGCTGAACACACCAATCACGGACTGAGCCAGACAAACCAGCAGAGCACGGCAGGCTGAGCACACCAATCCCGCGCTGAGCCAGACACACCAGCAGAACACGGCAGGCTGAGCACACCAACCACGCGCTGAGCCAGACAAACCAGCAGAACACGGCAGGCTGAGCACACGCGCTGAGCCAGACAAACCAGCAGAACACGGCAGGCTGAGCACACCGATCACGCGCTGAGCCGGCGGGTCCCCTCACCTGCAGAAACATGGCCGTGCCGAGCCCAATGCCCACCATGAGGAAGATGAGTGAGTAGAAGTTGGCCTGCGCCTGCGCCACCTCCCGGTCCGACTCCGCCAGGTTCTGAGGAGGAGAACGAGGGGGGGGGGGGGGTCAACGGCATAGGAACAGACCAGATCGACAAACGTGCAAATGATCATACTCAATACGAAAAATTTGAAAAAAATTGGACAATCTGCGATGTACATGACGTAACAATTATTACGTAAGTATGTCATTCCCAGACCGATCCAAAGGTGATTTCGCGAATCGTCCAAGGCGATAGCCACAGGCGAAATGTTTTGCGCACGGGCAAACCAAGCACCACCTAAAAAAAGCGCACCACCACATCTTCACGGACCGAACACGCCACACGCCCCCACCACGGGACGAGGCGCACACACCAGCACCTGTCGCCGTGCGCGCGCGGCTGGCACGCCCGGCGAGCGCCGCAGGCCGGGTCCGGTACGTACGGCGAGCACGTCCCCGAAGAAGAGGGCGTAGACGGGTATGGCGCAGCCGCACACGGCCGAGGCCAGCACGCCGAACAGCACGTACGGCCACTCGGGCCCGCTCATCCTGACCAACCGCCACATGGAGACCGGCGGGTAGGTGGGTTCGCCCTCCAGGGGCACGCTCACCTGGTGACGGGAGGGCCACTTGGTCACCACCACATGGAGACAACCGCAGACGTTTCCTACACACCTGACGCCATCGGCAAACGTAATGATGGGAAACGTTCAGTCATTGACAAAGCGACATTAGCTAAACGCAAAGTTCTCAGGTCAGCTACAGGACTCGGCATGGCTGTCCCTTTACAAAGGGAGGTGGGAGCACCTCCGACCTCTCTGTGCCCCTCCCCCCCCCCCACTACACCTGAGCACCCCCCCCCCCCGCGACCCCACGGCGTGCTCCGCCACTTCCCCCTCTCCACCCCCGGCGTCCCAGGGGCGCCGCCGGCCGGAGCCCGACTCACGCTGCGTCGGCGCCGTGAGCGGCGCATCGAGTGCGTGCGGCCGAGCCCGGTGGCAGCCACGTGGCCGACCACCTCGGCCAGGCTGGGCTCGCCGTCCTCGGACGAGATGGAGACGGTGCGGCTGGCGCGGCGTCGCGGCCGACGCACGGCCGGCGGCTCCTCGGCCGCCTCCGCCGGGTCTGCCGGCGGCGGTCCAGAATCACGCAGAATCCAGCATCCAGAGTCACGACGTCTGACCCGGGGCCGAAGGGTTCCCGCTCGACTCCAGTCTGAACCCCCCGGCCCCACCGCTACCAGAGCGCGGCGACCCTAAGGACCTCAGATTGCATCGATACATAATCCGATGATAGGCGCTGACAATATCGATATACAATTCGACAATTCGCGCCGAGAGCATCGATAAATAATCCAGCGATTATGACTGAGAAATTGGGTCCACGTAACACACGAGGAGACAAGACAGCGCACTGCAGGCGAATGGTGGTGCTGGGTGACCTCTCGGTTAGCCGCCACTGGGGAGGGACGCGGTGCTCTGACGGCATCTGGCTCTAATGGGTGGGAACACATTTGTTGCACCGTAAGCCATACTGACTTTTCAACCGCCAGAGCTTTCAACGTGCCGGTGGGTTTTAGGAGCACAAATGTATGCCACGACTAGTCACGCGGTTGGTGAGGCTGTTACATCATCACGGCAGAGGTCTTGCGATCACCGGCACAAATCAGAGAGCGTCGCCACAGTAGCCAGTGTTCCCAACGCATGCGCTGAGCCCCAGCCATCGCTCGTGGCCACGCGCTTCGCTCTGCGGCCGCCCCCTCTCTGAGCGGAGCGGCCGCACGCCGCGCGCGCGTCACCCACCGGCCGACTCCTCGGCGATGGCCTGGGCGCTGACCAGCCGGTGGTAGAGGCCGCGCCGCTCCATCAACTGCTGGTGGCTGCCGCGCTCGGCCACCCGGCCCTCGCGCAGCACCACGATCGTGTCGGCGCAGCGCACCGTCGACAGCCGGTGCGCCACCACCACCGTGGTGCGACCAGCGCGAGCCTGCGGCACCGACGGAGGCGCGGGCGGGGCGCGCCGGACCGTCATGCGTGGTGTGGCGGACACGGGGGCATCTGGCCTGGTCACTGGAGCGCCGCAGTGAGTCTCCGGACAGCGAAAACAAAACATCGAGAACACGAGGTGGATTCAACAACAGCCAGAGGTACAACAGCGAGACCCTTGATAGCGTCAGACACATGCCAAAACATATTTCCAAAGGCTTAGAATAGGGACGCTGTGTGTAGCCATATCTGCGAAACGAACCAGCCGCCAGCGGCATCACTGTCTTCCCCGTGAAAACCTCTCTTCGATCTGCTCCCCGCCGGTGCTGACTCCGCCCCGCGCCCGTCCCAGGGGCGCCTGCCTCACCTCTGCCAGTGTCTGCTGGAGGCGCGCCTCGGTGGCTGTGTCCAGCGCCGACGTGGCCTCGTCCAGGAGCAGCACGGATGGGTCTGCCAGCAGGGCGCGCGCCAGGGCCACCCGCTGTCGCTGGCCGCCCGACAGCTGGCCGCCGCGGCCGCCCACCGTCGTGTCCAGGCCAGCCGGCAGCGCGGCGATGAAGTCCCAGGCCTGGGCGGCGCGCGCCGCTCGCTCCAGCTCGGCCTCGCTGCAGTCAGGCCGGCCTGCGGCGGAGAGGGCAGGGTGAGAGGGACGCGCCGCTCGCTCCAGCTCGGCCTTACAACAGTCAGGCCGGCCTGCGGCGGAGGGGGGGGGGGGGGCAGGGATTTGAGGGGAAGGATGAGGGCGTGAGGGGCGCCCCCGGGCTGGGCGGGTCTAGCGGCGCACTGGGCCGCAGGACGGACCTTTCACGACATACGTCCACAACTGCCGTTATCGTGACTGACCGGCACATCTGTCGGAAAAGTTGAAAACCCAGTGAAAGGTTAGCAAGACGAGGCGCAGCCCTACACGGCACACCCGCTTGTACGTGGAAACCAGAAAGATGCTACTGGTGTCGACACGGGGCGAAAGCTGACACAGAAATGGTGGGACGCTGAGGTGGATCAGCAAAAAGGACGACACACAACAAGCCCTAACGACCAAAACCCGCGCAACCATCAGGTACGACAGAAAACGTACCCACAGCCAAGCTGAACGCACGAACGCAGGAAGCCTGACTCGTGCTGGGCGTGCAGACAATGGCACACAGAGCACACTTTTGGGGCAAACAATATTTGCTACCGAGCGAATATGTACATACATAGGAAGTCGGATTAAATCCCATGCAGCTGACTAACCAGATGCCTGCCCAACACTGTAACGTGCAGTTTTACATCAGTTCTATGAACCCCGTTTGGACGTTAGAACAAAACACGCCGGTGCCGGTCGCTGCAAAACAAGCAGCCAGACCTCGGACCGGCGGCGCCACGACGGGGCAAGGTTCTCCCGCACCAACAACGAGGCCGCGTACCGTATCGGATGTTCTCGCGGATGGAGATCGGGAACAGGACCGGCTCTTGCGAGACGACGCCGAGCTGACTCCTGAGCCAGGAGACGCGCAGGTCGGAGACGCGCTGGCCGTCCAGCAATACCTGCGGCAGGGTAGGCGCCAGGACCACGGCTACAGTCACGGCCACCAGATAAAAGTCGTCGCGGCGCAGGCCAGCTTATGGGCGCTTCAGAGATAACCGCCATAAGCAAGGGACCATATCAGCAGGGAATGAAGACGAGCAAATCATAAATCAGTGACCGAGAACTACATGCCCGCACACGTGGACTGACAGTCTCTTCCTCGTCGTATCGTGATCAAAACCTGACGTGGTTAGGCCCAGCGAGTCCCAACAAATCGTAACTCTACCTTTCTTCCCAATACCTCGGATTTAGAAAGGCCTGCAAGCTCCGATCTAACCCAGCTCGGGATAAGCTTCTCTTTACCGAACTATCTGGACGCCAACTTGACATTTATTCCTCTCGCTTTAGCGTGATACCCCATTTCCGAAGGCCTCACCGTGTACTCTCGACACCCAACGCACGGCAACAGCGGACAGCAACCGCCCAGCTGGACCGGCGCTGGGTCCGGATCCGGACCGCTGCCCGGTCGTACCGGCACTGGGCATAGACCCGGACCGCTTCGCGGCCGGACCGGCGCTGGGCCCGGACCCGGACCGTTGCCCGGACCGGCGCTGGGTCCGGAACACCGCCACCTCACCTGCCCGTGGTCGGGATCGTAGAGCCGCTGCAGCAGCTGGACGCAGGTGGACTTGCCGCAGCCGGAGGTGCCCACCAGCGCCACCGTCTGGCCGGCCGGGATGCTGAGGCTCAGGTCATGCAGCACCTGGGACGAGCCGCACGCTCGGTCAGACCGCCCGCTCGCCGACCGCCGCAGCCGGGCGGCCGCGCCCGGTGAGGGACAACACGCTGCTTTGTGCGGTGCCGCAGGCGCGAGAGCGCGGCGGAACCGGCAACTGAAGGATCGACTGCATTCAACAGGCCTCTCCCAACACTGGTTCCAGCTCCCAAAACATTGCGAAAGAGGTGGGCCAAATCTGGAGGTTTTTGGGCTCACTTTGAGTAGGTTTATTCATTTTCATCGCGCCCCAAACTCATTTTTAGAACTACACTCCTGTATCGGAGTACGCAGCATTGAGACGACTCAACCATTTGGTTAATAACACCAATCTTGCAGACATTGCGATAGGGTCACAACATAAAGTTGCATTGTGTCTGGATTACAGCTGAACATGAGTAATTGACGATTTATGTTGTAGGCGGAAAAAAATATTCAGAAGACTTAATTTGTGGGCGCATGCACGTTGATCAGATTGTTCATAGGGGGGTAGTGAGGTTGCAATATTCACTTAGTGCTTGCCCAAACCTCCCAAACAGTCTTAGATGATAATGTCGAAGCAATCACACACATGAATCATAGCAAGGTGCGGGTTGATTCCAGCCAGATAGCGGAATGTACGGGATTGCTGTTTTGATTCAGGTCGGCAGAGACTGTCACTGAGTCTGGCGATAGCTGTGGCACGACAGCACGCGACGTGGAATAAGGTGGCCAGACGGGTGCAGGGAGACACGTTATTCTGTCGTAGGACCTGGGATAATAACGTTACGTTTAAAGGTGATCTGTGTGTAGCCACGCCCGACGCCAGACTACATGAATGCCATGGAGCGCCAGCTGGTGTCAGGCCACTCCAGGCCACTCGGCGGAGTGCAGGCGAAGCACGGTCGGGAGTCGATCAGGGTCAGCTTCACAGAGCATGGCTGCCCCAACATGGGAACTGAAGGGAAGGCGAGTCCAATTCAGCGGGCTGGGATCAGCACAGCTTACACGCGATGGATGAGTGACGGCATGTCGGAGCCTCGGTTGAGGCGAGAAAACAAACTATGCGTAGATATATACAATGCTGTTTGCACTTAGAGCATCCGCCTCATTGCAAAACCTTCAATACAGGATCGCTCGCAAATATTCCGAACCGAAGGGATTCTATGCATCAGAGAAGGCTGACAGCGATCGGTTTTGTGACAAATGAAGCGAGTTTGAAACCCTAAAACATTTGTACGAGCCATGCAATGAAGTGCCGTCATCCTGTGTCGAGCTCCCGGCGAGACTAAACTGCATGATAAATAAATTATATCGATGCGGCAACATTCCTTCTGAACCCCAGAGAGAATAGCGTCGTAAATTTCGTAGTCTAGAGCGTGAAACAACTTAAATGGGCGGTTCGGGGACGAAAACACTTTGGTGGACAGGCACCTGTCATATACCTGAGGAAGATCGACATGAATGTATGGGGGTGAAAGGTTAAATACAAACAGTGAGAACCAATGACCGGGGATGGTAAGGGCAGTAAGACGGTGGTTGATGTGATGTTTTGTGGTGATTTCTCGTGATGTGAGTGTGTGACAACGTCTAGGTAGCATGCCATGTAAAACTCACTACCAGGGGATGTACCACCGGACCAACAGATCTCCTGTCCTCGGTCAGCTCAGTTGGTAAAGCACAGGACTCGCGAGCGATAAGACCCTGATTCAAATGCCAGCGATTCCAAGGAGAGGATTCGGGTCGTGACGCATACCAGTCCAGTCCTTCTCAAGACTCCATAACAACCGACAACGGTCGGAGAGTTCACTGGCCAAAACGCTGTGTTCCTACCAACACAGCAGAGGAGGACGATAGTCTGAGCAATTATGCCATCCGCGCACTTATCTAATAAAGCACAGACCCGGCCACGCGGCCCAGCCAGACCCCCTGCCCCGTCCGCTGCGCTGAGTGTAGGGTGGCGGCGGGCCGCCACTGACCTGCACGTCTGGCCGGCTGGGGTAGCTGAACCGCACGTCCCGAAACTCCAGATGGCCGCGCACCGTCTCCGGCGTCTCGCCGCTCTCCCCCAGCGGGTCGATCTGGGAGCGGCGCTCTGACCGGCGGCATAGCCCGGTCAGTCACATACACACACGAGGCACCGTCTCCGGCGTCTCGCCTCTCTCCCCCAGCGGGTCGATCTGGGAGCGGCGCTCTGACCGGCGGCATAGCCCGGTCAGTCACATACACACACGAGGCACCGTCTCAGGCGTCTCGCCGCTCCCCCCCCCCCCCCTTCCCCAGCGGGTCGATTTGAGAGCGGCGTTCTGACCGGCAGTATAGCCCGGTCACACGAACAACACATTCCAGTGAGAAAAGCCAACACTGGAGCGCGCGTGGCATCACATAACAAGACAAACAAGCGCCAGCTGTCTGCAGGCATTTATCATGGCTGGAACAAAACACATCTGAAACAGTGACAGGGGTGGAGAGGACGATTAATTCAGTTAGGATAGCGACGAAGGACGGCGCCCTGTCGGCCACCTCGACCACAGACTGTTGTCTGAGCCGCGGCGGCAAATGGCGTCTAAAAAGTACCACCAAATGAACTGACGTTTCCTGACGTATACTGACGGACGTTCCTACGGCCGACTTCTCGACAAAAACAGAGCTGCCGATCCGCGTGTAGCTCGGTAATCTCCCGGGTCTCCCAGCGGTGTATCCCCGCGACTGACCAATAACGGCGAAGATGGTGGCGGCGGCGCCGCGGGCCTCGCTGAAGGAGGAGAGGTGCAGAGCCGACTGTCCCAGCTGAATGGCGCCCATCACCACACTGAAGAACACCTGCGCACGGCGGGCCGCAGGCGATCAGCACGACGTCTCGGCACAGCTGAACACAGGCTGCGTACGTAATAATGACGATCAGTACCACAGTGCTCTCCACTGAACAACGCCTGACAGACGGGAAAGCATAGTAATTACACCACATTACAGGCTTCCCAGTGAACAGCGTCTGACGAGATAGGGACGCCACCAGTACAATGAAGATCACCTGAGCACAGCTTCACCCGCTTACCAACCTCGGTAGAACGTCCAGTACCGACCGGAACACCGCTCCGCCAACGGCGACTTAATACGACCGTGGACGCCGTCCACGGCCTGCAAGCGCAGCACGACAACTGCTGCCAACGGTGACTAAATACGACTATGGGCGCCGGCCACGGCCTGCAAGCGCAGCACGGCAACTGCTGCCAGCGGTGACTAAATACGACCGTGGACGCCGGCCACGGCCTGCAAGCGCAGCACGACAACTGTTGCCAACGGTGCCGCTTCGGAGCCGCGACCCCCGACAGCGGGAGGTGACCCGGCGCGGCCCGCGCGACTCACGATGGTGAGCGAGGCCGGGTCGTACTCGCCGTCCAGGATGAGCGCCGTGCCGTACCAGAAGGCTAGCGCGTAGCAGGCGAACACCACGCACCAGGCGAGGCCGGCGCCCAGGCCGGTTAGCGCCGAGTTCCACAGCCACCAGCGGCGGGCGGCCAGCAGGCAGCGCGAGTACCTGTCGGCAGCGGCCGGGCCGGTCAGCGCGGGCGTATGTGGCGCGGGCCGACGTACGACTGAGACGCCAGAAACGTGAGGCGGAGGCGGTGCGGACCATTGTGGACTAATAGTCAGGCTGTGGGCCGCGTCAGATTCACGTGGTGCAGGTCACTGGAACTGCAGCAGCGACATGAGACGGCTCAGCGTCAATTGCTACAGAGCAAGGCGTGCCGAGTACGCGGGTCTGAGTGTTATGGTTGGTTTGAGTTTTAGGGCGGCACAACTGCTTGGTGGTTTGGCGCCTGCAGCCCGCATTTCAATGACGCGGAGTTGACTAACCACTGCAGATCTACCAGCATGGACAATCATCGATCGGGAAAGAGAGTGCCTTCGCTGCCGAACAGACGAATATATCGCTTGAAGGCTAATGACGGTGAGCAAATCAAAGAGACAGTTAATATATTGCGAACTGTACCACAGAACCTCAGCCAGAAATGTGTGAGTAATAGCCGGACCTAGAACGCGGCGACGCTCCATCCGGCAGCATTGGCAAACGACCAGCACATGACTAACCGTCATAGTCTTCCAAAAGCGCGCACACACAGCGGCCGCTCTTCTCCATATGGAAGGTAATGGTGGGTAGCGCAGGTGTGACCATCGCGCATACAATAAAGTGTAACCTCACTTCGCCTTACTGCGCGAGCGTGATGTACATTGTTTCAGGTGAGGCCTCTGAGCTTGATTGCGTCCTGAGAATCCCCGGACCTTTACCATTTACGCTGGACGAATTTGAAGGCCACCGGGTAATAGCCGCGGACACAAAGCGTCATCGAGCGTGAGCAAGCCGTGGCCGCTGCACGTTTGGCTGCCACTTTAGCAAGCTCTTTCCATTGCATCCCTTCGTGGCTCGGGATCAACAAAGCACAATTGTTTTTTTTTTCGCCGGCTGAAGAATGACGACGTGCTTGCTCCTGGCGCGGGTCACATCAGTCATGTTCCATAGAACACGACACTCCTGGCACGCGCCCACCACAGAGGGCTCCTCACAGCACGTCCACCCATAAATACACGCGTTCTGGGGCGGAGTTCAGCGGGCGTTTCGCGGCGTGCGACACTCCGGGCATCACGTGATCACGAGCCTCTAGCGACCATCCATTCCGTGGGTCACGCCGCCAGCGACATTACGTCTGCATTGGTATTCCACTACTGCCTGGACCCTATGAACCTCTCAGTTCACTGTTATCACCCGAAACAGAACGTGACTGCGCTGGGCATGCTGTGTTCTAAAAATCAGCGGCATCTGTTTGTTTAGCTGCTGTTTTCGTACTTGCGTACGCTGATGAACCTATGCACCGATGGTACCCCCACAGAGCTGCTCACCCACCACGACCTAAGGGCGACCTGACCCGGGAATTCTTACCTGCTTATGTTGTTCACTCCTAGCACCACGGCTCGGCGCCTCAACCTTGCCCCCGTCCCGTCCCGTCCCGTCCCGTCCCGTCCCGTCCCGTCTCGTCCCGTCCCGTCCCGTCCCGTCCCGTCCCATCCCGTCCCGTCCCGTCCCGTCCCGTCCCGTCCCGTCCGCTGACCTGTCCACCTCCCGCTGCTGCCCGCTGAAGGCCACCACGGTGCGGATGGCGGAGATGACCTCGGAGGCCACGTCGCCCGCCTGGCTGTAACCAGCTGTGGCCCGTTGCATGAACGTCGACTGCACCTGCACACGCGGTCCAGGGCCGGGGTCAACACGGCGCACCGCTGAGAAAGCAGAGTGGGAGGGGAAGAGGGGACCCGGCGGCAGTCACCGATCAAGACGCCAGCGTAAGGTCAACATCACAGATTTTCAGATCAGATCAGATCACAGATCACAGATCAACACACAAATTAGAATTCCAGGTCATTTAGCAAGGCCAGTAACGCTGAAATACGTCATAAGGAGTGCAAGTGGTAAAAGATGACACTGCCGCGGCGAGCTTCGAGTCCCGAGCTCGCAATCAAGAGACGTCTGTCCTGTTACTGCAATACCGCAGGCTCCGGCGCCGCAGCGACAGCTGACGTGGCACATAACTTAGAAATGGGCTGCCGGCTGGTTCCTGCCCGGTTAATGCCTTAACAACCGTTCTAAACATAAACCACACGATCACGGCGGGATCTGGGCCTGATCCTCTAGTTGAGCCGCCAATGACACCTCTGATTGGGAAGGAGAGGGCCTACCACCACGGCTATTGGCAGCACGAGCCGGCCGGCGGCGGCGGCGGCGTACCTTGGCGATGGCGCCCAGGATAGCGACCAGTACAGGCACGGCCGTCAGGATGACCAGCGTCAGCCGCCAGCCGTGGTAGAAGGCGTTGCACATGGAGATGACGAACACGGACACCATGAAGACGAAGATGCCCAGCTTGTCGTCGATGCCCGCCTGCACCTTGGCCAGGTCCCTGCACAAACCAACATCGCGTCAGAAGTCACCTCGATGGTGTTACTGAGTGGCCAATCATGACCGACATGGGGGCGAAATGACCGCTGCGGCTGGTGAGCCTCGAGTCAACCATATCTGCAGTATTTCTGGCAAACGGTGCATGAGGATTTGTTGCAAAACAAATCACCGCAGCTTGCTTGATTATAGATCAATCGTAAGGACTTAGATGACTTACGAAGACGCCTATCACACAGATCCATCCCAAACCAAGAGCACCCGTCCTCCGGTCAGCCTGACCCCTCCAGCCCCTCGCCAGCTGCCCTCGCGCCTCTGTCCCCGGCGCAGACGCCGTGACCGAGGTCCGGGCGTCGCCGACTCACTCGGTGGCGCGGGTGGCGAAGTCGCCGGCGCCGCTCGTCTCGAACCAGCTGATCTCCTGGCGCAGCACGGCCTCCAGGAACAGGCCCCGGATCCGCTTCACCTGGCGACGGCACCGGCGCCCGCTCAACGCCCACAAGTGACGGCTGATGCTGCCGCGTGCCGCACGCGCGCGTGCTGCACCACGACACCGGCGCTGCGACGGCACCGGCGCCCAATCAACGCCCGCAAGTGACCCGCTGATGCTGCCACGTGCCGCACGCGCGCGTGCTGCACCACGACACCGGCGCTGCGACGGCACCGGCGCCCAATCAACGCCCGCAAGTGACCCGCTGATGCTGCCACGTGTCGCACGCGCGCGTGCTGCACCACGACACCGGCGCCCGCTCAACGCCAGCAAGTGACCCGCTGATGCTGCCACGTGCCGCACGCGCGCGTGCTACACCACGGCACCGGCGCCCACTCAACGCCAGCAAGTGACCCGCTGATGCTGCCACGTGCCGCACGCGCGCGTGCTGCACCACGACACCGGCGCTGCGACGGCACCGGCGCCCAATCAACGCCCGCAAGTGACCCGCTGATGCTGCCACGTGCCGCACGCGCGCGTGCTGCACCACGGCACCGGCGCCCGCGCAACGCCAGCAAGTGACCCGCTGATGCTGCCACGTGTCGCACGCGCGCGTGCTACACCACGGCACCGGCGCCCACTCAACGCCAGCAAGTGACCCGCTGATGCTGCCACGTGCCGCACGCGCGCGCCGCATCATGGTACGTTGTGATGTCACTTTTGCATTACGACATGTCGCAGTGCCACATGTCGTACCGACACATGCTGGGTGCCCTTGCAAGCTCACATCAACACGTGTTACTTACACGGACATGTGCTGCGTCGACATGTGTTGTGCTACGTGTTGCGAATAACGGATGCATGAGCTGCACAGCCAGATATCGCACTGCAACGTCTCAGAACGTCGAATTGCTCGGCTGTCACAGGTTCTTTTCGTTGTAACACTCTGACATGCGTGATACTCAGCAGTCATATTTTCCATATGCGCATATGTCATGTGTCGCATATGCGGTCAACGGCATGTACGTGACATTGTCGCAGGTGTTTTGGCCACACCATAACCGCAATCCAGTGCTGAGCAGCTATGATCGTCACAGATAGCTGTCGCAGCCCTTGTCAATGGCAATTAACGTCTGTGCGAAATCGCGGTCTTTCAGTGGCGGCAGCGCAGCCTATTCTCCCATTCTGCAACCGAGTTCGGGCATTAACCCTGATATGATGGTTCCGTGGACACCCCGTCCAACCAATCCAGCAAAATGAGTGGACTGGTTCTCCGGCAAAAAAGCCGTCAGACGCCGCCGTTTCACTTCACAAAGAAGACACGTGCTATTCGAAGTTACTGACCTTACAAGTGACATTTAGCGACTGATTTCATGAGCCTGAAGACGTCTGATGAGATGCCACAGAACGTTTTAGTAGCACAAGAGGTTAACGAGAGTAGCCCTCAGTTTCTCACTTATACTGGGCTCTTGGATGCGCTGGAGTCGCAATATCCCTCTAGGCGATACTTGTTTTCGAAAAAAACTTAACCGAGCATTCCGATATCTCTGGAGGCCTACCACCAGCGTGCCACATCCCTGGAGTAAACAACACGTACCGATAGCGAAGACGAAAACAGAACTTGAGTCAAGAGAAGACTTCGAGCGAAGCCCGCGGCGAAACGGACCGGCTGCGGGCGACTGAAGGCCACTTACAGTCGCTGCGATTCGGTCTGCTTGTGATGCTCACGACAGTAATGCAACGACGCGTCTATGTAAGTACACCTATTGCGCAACCAAGATCACTCCCAGGAGGGAGTCAAACTGGAACATGGGGGCACGTTCATCCAAGGAGGTCCCTCTTCATCGCTATTCAGGCCCTGTTGTTTATCCAATATGCTTTTTTAGGCTTGTTCTTCAATTTTGATATTTCAGAGCTAGGCTTTTGTGTCTAGAAGCCCTGGAGGCCCACGCCACCTCTCCCAGGGGGAGGGGCATAACCCCAGAAGCCCCCTGGTTACACCACTAAATCACACCATCTGCATGACTTGGCACAAGTCAAACCACTACATGATGTGACGATGGAAAGATTCTAACATAGCGTCCAGCCCGTCCTTGTGGGATAAGAGTACCGTTAGGGGGGCGGGAAGGTTCCAAACGAGCATCTGATGACCCTGGTGGGAGCGAGGCCAGAACACCTGCCGTTGGCCTGGCCACATGGCGGCCTGGTCAGCCTGATCGGATCTTGGCACGCAGAGGTTCTGCCTAGCCGGTCGGCGTCTCAGAGCTGATGCTCGTGCTGAGTCGCTGACGGCCGGCCGGTGTCCCAGAGCTGATGCTCGTGCTGAGTCGTTGACGAACCTGTCTGGCGGACGAGAAGTCCAGGCAGAACACGAACAGAGCGGCGAACACCGCCTGGAACGTGCCGGCCACGCAGCTGCCCACCAGGAACACCAGCACGTGCTCAGAGAACGACTCCGGACTGGCACCGTCCGGCAGCAGCAGTTCCACCGGTCTTGACCTGGCGACACCCCACCGTCAGCAGATCTGGCCACGTTGATACGGCGCGCGCGGCGACGTGGACATTGGAGATATCCAACATGGGAATGTGAAGACATCCCACCTGGTGCTGAGAACATGTTGGGCCCAATGAAATACGATCAAACTGCTGCCATATTGCAGGCGAGGGGTGAAATTGCCGCCAGATATTCTTTCTACAAAATACCAAATACAAACTTAAGGACAACGACACAGTGAATATCGATTATTTCTTATACCCGGCGGCAGACAGGCACCGACTACAAACACGGCAGCGCAACAATGCGATTTAAATCAAACCAAAGGGCTATCCCGCACATAACGCTCCGACACGTGTTCCTGCAGCGGGCGGCACGCCTCCCCGCCCGTCGGCCGTCAGCTGGCGCGCGCCAGCACGCGACTCACACCGTGCGGTTGACAGCGGCCTGCGTGCCGTTCAGATGGCCGGCGGCGTGGAAGCCGACGAAGGCGTTGGTGAGAAGGCCGAGCAGCACCACCATGGCCGGCAGGCAGAGGGACGAGAGGACGGCACACACCAAACCCGAGGCCACCAGTGCCCGGTCCCGGCCGTCCGCGTACCGGAACTGGCAACAGCCAGAGGGGTCTCACCGACGCGGTGCACAGGGCGTGCCGTCAGTTGGTGCAAGAGAGGGTGGTGAAAACAATGCATTGCCCCTGAAGTCGTCAGAAACCAATACAAACAAATCGTTGAATGACACTGGTCTGTGTCAATCTCATGCCACAGTGTGACAGGGAAAATAAGCCATATTTGGCAGCAGTCTCCAACCTGTCATCTCTTGATGAGACCACCACGATGTGTTTTCACAAAGAGACAGGAAGTGACATTTGACTGACCAACAAGCACATATGATGCAGTGAGTGCATTGTGGCTAATTAAATTGCAGAGGATGCAACACTTTGAAGTGCAAAGGTTGCAAGTGTTTTTGAATGGCTAGATTTGAGCCTGCCCCTCCCAGAGGCTCCTAAAATTGGCATGACAAGCCGGCTTACCAGCTGCGTGTATGATACTGGAGGAGGAGAGTCATTTCTGGTCTGTTTGTTCAGCCTGAAACACCGATAGTGTGATGTTAGCTGAACTGAGACTATAGTTCTTAAAGGGTCAAAAACTACCGGATTATTGTTGGAAAGATAAATATAGGTCACATTTCTCTGGGATGACATAGGATCAACCTAGCCAATGATACATAGGATTGTGAAGCATGCCACAGGGCACATAAACACAGGCAAAAACATATGAGACAGGATATAAACTGAGTTGGCATCTTTTTAGCTGAAATCATTATAAAGAGTATCACCAATACTATTCTCCTGCACTACAACCAGAATCGTGAATGAACTGGCCATGGCATCATAGGGGTGGACACTCACTCTTTCAGCTCAACATGTTCACCAGGTGTGGAGCTGGTATTCTGTTTGTCCTCTGGAAGAGGCCTTATGCTACCAATGACATTTGCAAACTCTTCTTCTTTGGGTGCCATTGTCACACAGTTTCGCTTAGCCTCATGAAGTCAAGCTGTCTTTACATAAAACAGGCAATGAAATCATCTGATATGGACTCTGTAATGAGAAAATGAAGGTTAAACTAATAAATAAATCAAAGTTCAACTACCTGGGCTACACCACAGAATGCACAACTTTGCACAACCTGATATGAACAACCCAATATCAATGGTAGCAAAGTCCACACTACACGTCACCATACTGATGTACTTATGCATGTTTAAATATTAATGTACCAATAACTGTACTATTAACCACCCTGTTAAACACCCTACTCAACATGAGAAGATACAGAGCAATAATGTTATACACATAGCTGTTTTGCATGTGTATAACTCAACACCTAATGCTGTTGAGATCATTAAAAAATAGTGAGTGGGGAGGACCAAATACTTTGATGCTAATGCACATGCTGAAACTCAATGAAAATCTAGTTGCTCAAAAGGTTCATAGACTGAGATTCTGGTAGTGGCTACCATCAATGTTGTCTTGACAGCTCACTTTTTAGGGTGCCCGCTTTCTGATCTGCTCATCCACCTGCAAGCAGGCAGGAGTTTGAGTCACTTTTGATGCTCACTGTAAGCCCTTGTCAGTTATGGCCTGTGGTATAGTGGTGGCTGCACTAAGGGCCAGATGATATCAGAGGGCAGGAAGGACCATGCAAGGCATTGCAGCATATCACATTTGAGATGACAAGTTTTGTCATTAGCCTGAAATGTTATCATAGTATGGTAAGTATCAGGACTCACACCAAAAGCACTGTTTAGTGTGAGCTCTGATCTTAGATATCCATCCACTCAAAGGGTTGAAATTAGAAGTTTAAAAAATGTAAAATATGATGTTTCATAGCGAGTGAAACCCATGATCCTGTAATACAAATCACTGACAAGTTATCCATATGAAGGGACTGCTTCATGAGTAGACTGACACAAAATAGAAGATTGTCTAACCATGATTTTTTATGATTTCCTTCACAAACCTAGCTATCATACAGAGGGTACTATTGCATATGTGAACAAATAGAACATAGACTGTTTTCATCTTACAATATCCAAAAAAATTACCTGTCAATGTATTTCATCACCTTTTTTGAACAGCTTGTTCAGTGAATGGCAAAGCAAGAAACAGGGGCAGCCCACACCCTCTCATGAATAGGCAAGTAAACAATAGGGGTACCTCAAGAGGATGTGCCATGCATGAGGCTAGTAGCTAAGCATGCATCTACCTGGGGTCCAACAATATATCAGCCTCCAATCTCATAATCCCATAAGAACAAAAAATCAGGTGACTTGGGATCCATAATTGAGAGACAGGCACATACTTGCTAAGCACCTGCCTACAATCATAATTACCTGTAATTAATGTACAGACAAATTTAGCATGCAAGCACTTCCCAAACAAAGCCAGCACACACTCATGTGACCATATGCTCATTCAAAACACACCATATGGCTACCATAAATAACAAAGAAAGGGAGTAAGACATGCGTAATAAAAGCATACGGTACTTCCTTCATCAGATACTCTAGCATTCGAGGAATGAACACTTAGTGCACTAACATACATCTTGCTTGCGACTCAGACACCGTCAACGCAGGGTTCTGACGACTACTAACTACCACTGTGATCAGAAAACTGAGTCATCATGTTATGGCATTGACAGATATTACCAACTCATCCACCCCTCCCCCCACCGCATCCATCACAATCATCGTCGCCCTATTCACTACGAGTCCGTGGCACCGTTATCAGCGTTATGCACCAAAGGAGAAAGTTTGACACAAGAGCGTCATATTTGCCTTGTTTGATTTTGTTCTTGATTTCAGCCACTTTTTATTATAAAACTGTATTGACAGGCTGTGTTTCTCGTGTTTTACGCAATGTGATATGAATGAAAATGTGTGTACTATTTACGCCTTGCTAGTAAGGCTAAAAAAGCTGTTGCGGCATTTTTACACGTCAAGTTGTATGTCGTTTCGACATAAGCTTTGTATGCTTCTGCTACGATCCAGCAGCCGTCATTAATAGTGTGATTGTTACGCGTCTGTGGTTACGCTGGCAAGGTGCTCGAGGATCGGTGCCGCGCTGGGTTGGTCGCCGGCATGAAGTCGGCGTTGCTGATTTATCTAGGGCAAGCCGTTTTTCAGGGCCTCCCTCAGCCGTCTTTGGGGCCTTCTCGCTATTGCACTAATTCAGTGGCGTCGCCAAGGCCGTGGGGGTGAGGGCTCGGAGTAGGGGGGGGGTGGGATGGAGAGGAGCATTTAGGCCCAGGTTTTGCATTATAGATGGCCACCGACAAAAGTTCAAAATCGCCGTGATGCACACTGACCGAGCCTGCAGCAGAGGGCTTGGAGCAGTCGTGGGCTGGGAGGACTTGCTTAATAAATCTAGGATGTTGGTACAGCCAGGGGCTCTCCACTGAAGGGAGGAAATATATTTATGTGGCATTTATATCCCAAATCAGGTCAGCCTGGTCCAGAGCCGCGGCAATCTGATGCAGGAAAGGGGCTTCCTGTTCCAGAAATAGGGCCGTATAAATGTAGAGGGTACCTCCTAACCGATAGCAGGAGCCTTTTAGTTCGCAACGGGTCCTCCCCAGCCAGGAAAGGGACCTCTTAAACACAAAATTGGGCCCCTCGATCTAAATAATGGGCAACCTTATTTTTAAAAGTGGCCTCATAATTTTTAAAAAAACGGGCTTCATATAGCAAAGGTCCTTTTGACACCACTTGATTACTCCAGCTAAGCTATGGGACCTCCATGATATGAATTGTGGTAACCTACGGGTATTGGCAATGCCTTTAGCTTGGAAAAGCTGTCTCCCGAAAACCCTTGCTCCCTCTGCCTGTTAGCAGGGGGTGCAACTGCTTTCCTCTGCCCCCCCCCCCCCCCCCTCCTGCTGCGCCGCCGCTGGTAGTGGTCAGGCTCGGACTACTAGCGACGTGCTGGCGCAGGCGGCCCACGATCCAGCGTCAGTGATCGACGACATGCGTTTCACAGCGGATTCATTCTTCAGTCGAGCGCAAACGCCAGTATCTTGGCGTTACTTGCACTCCTTATTGCTAAACGCAAGTGGCTTTTTGCAGCTAGACTAATTGATAGTTGGGTAATCCAAGAACTGAGAAGCACTAAGTGCGCTGTGATGGCCGAGTCGATCCCACCTGTGCAATTTTTCGCTGGAAGTCCTCGTCTGGACCAGCTTACTACTCTCCACGTGCTTTTTGAAAAGCCTGGAGACGAAGCACCTGGCAAGCAGGTTCTAAGATGTAGGTATGCGCGCTTTCTCATAAGGCCTCCTTTTTATGTTGATATGCTTCATGAGTTGTCCCTTCATTGCTAGGAACCTATACGCGTATGGGTTAGACCTTAAACCTCTCCGAAGCAGCACGTTGCAGCTGGAAAGATATGTGTTGCGACACCTCTTCCATCACGGCCAGTGATTGCAACATACCGCGTGCCTCGCAACATCACCCGATGTCGGTCTACGCTCTCCCGCTGCAATCAGCCGCAGAGCCGGCGGTGGCCGTACCTTCAGTGCTGCTGCCGTTCATATTTCCTGCGGGCTGTGATGCCTCGTAAGCTTGTTCATTCCCGGTGCCCTTCCGCCAAGCTCCGTACTCTTACTCTTGACTCTTGCGTGTGCCTCTTGAATCTTGTGTGTGACGCTTGACTCTTGTGTGTGACTATTGACTCGTGTGTGACTCCTGTGTGTTGCCCTCGTGTGGCCGTTCGATGTGCACTGACAGTGCCAATCTCAGCCGCGTGTCGTGCGCCGCAGGGAGCTGATATTCCGAAGTACGCTGGTGGCGGCCACGCCGGCCGACGACGGCCGCTCGGTGCTGGTGCTGGCCCCACGCTCGCTCGACGTCAGTAGGACGCTCGCCGACATGAAGGCCCGGGTACGCGGGAAATGATCGCTGCAAACAGCCCGTGTCAGCCGTCGTCCCTTCCCAGCGTTCTGAAGATCGGCTATGCGACCTTGACGCGCTTGGGTGGGGTGAAGGAGGCAAGTTGACTCCCCGCAGATTTTTCCAGGAAAAAAAAACTTCCGAACGGCGTGGCGCAGCTGTGCGAAACTGTTTGTAGCCGTTGGTCATTGAGTAGCTAGCTTTTAGGCAACAAAGTTAGATGTACCTTGAGAAATCGTTGCCAGGTCAAAATGCCAAGTAAGCCCAAGCTCAAGCAAAGTTAAGCCTGTCGAGAATAAGCTTACGAGGCATCACAGCGATTGTCAGCGAAGGCAATGACTAGATAATCGTTTGATATGATGCAACAACGGGGTGTTCAACGGATCCATACATCTTTGAGATGATTTCTCAGACAAATAGATAAATTTGATTTATGATCACGACTTATTTCACTGACCTTGGAGCAGGTATGGTCAGACGGTGGTCAAAACCAAGTTTTTTTTTTTACTGGAGAGGTCGGTTTATAGCGAAGTTTTTGAATGCTTGTGTAGAATTTAATGATCATGGATGCCAACAGACGTCTTCTTTGAACTTATTGAAAGTTATAAGAGTTCAGTGACCTAAAATGACCCTATCGACCTTTTTGTGTTAGGATCATGCCTCCTAACGTAATCCTTGGCGCTTATTTAAATGCAAATATACCCAGCCCTTTTGTCACTGTGACCCTCTGAGGGACAAGTAAGCCCACTGACCTGGAATTAACGCCCGTGACCCTTTGCTCAGAAGAGGGACCTCGGTTAATACTGGTTGCATGAGTTCTGCGTCATCTCGGACATCGATTTGGGCTTCGTCATTGGTTGAACACATATAAATTCATACACAGACCTACATACTTTATATGAATTTGGTGAATCTACAGGTGTATGCTATGAACCACATATTGCTATGTGCTCATGCTTTGGCCCTTTCTCGCGATGTTCTTCCATGTTTGTCCGTGAATCTAAGATATTTACTTGCATTCACATTCTTGGTTATGGCGCGAGCCTCAAGTTCTTCGATATCAAGATTTATTTCCGTAATAACAAGCACTCATATCTAATTTCTGGCATTATGTGGCATTAAACGTGGTTCGTAATTGAATTTGGACAGCCTGTACAATCTTGGTTGAGAGTCATTTCAGCCAATTGACGTCCACTTTATTTAGAAATTGTGCTCACGCACGCCGAATCTGGACGACTGGACGATAGTGCTCCTCCGAACTATGCACGACGCCTGGCTTATGGGGTGGCAGGATTTAAATGACGTTTCTGCGGCGTCATACATGCCTAAATGACCTTGAAATAGACTGCACGAAATCATTTGCCCATCTTTGAGGGCGTTTAGCTCAGAAGCTTTAATGTTTTGGGTCTTAACACGGGCAGGACTATGAGCTGCACCGAATGATCTTCAGGATGCCTGTTTCGTTTTAAAACCACATACAACTGTTGAACACTCCCTTTAACCTGGTGAGGGTGAATGCCATTATATTCATGAAGTTTCCAATCAAACACATATGTTCCAATGGTGAAGATGGAAAATGGATAGGATTGCGTGGACTCCAGTGGACTGAATCTGGTCTTATTGTGCCCAGAGAGAGATTTATGCATGCATCAGAATAAGATTTGTTCGTAATCTTGAAATTTTCGCCTGCCGTGAAAACAAGCGTACATTTTGACGAACATATTGATAAGCTTAGCCACACTTCGCAGTATCGTAAGCTTTGCTGTCGAATCTGGATACATGTTTGGCGTTGCAAGCAATGGGAAGGGCGTAAAATGCTGCCATGTCTTCGGAAACATGACATGGATGAAAAGCACTCATATGAATTTTCGGGTGCCCTGTTGTCTTTCCTGCATACGCTTCTGGGTGTCAGGGACACCAGCTTCATGCAATATTGAAAAAAATGATCCGCCTTATTTTGGGAACATGTGAGGCTATGTCTAACAAAACCATCTGCCTGTTCGAAGCACGTGTTCCTGCCTGTTTGAAGCATTTGAATTCACATGAGACCTGCGGCTCAATCAATACCCATCTTCGTGGTCACAGTATATGATCATAGGTCATGGAGTGAATTTGTCAAGCAACTGAACTCGAAAATATCTACGACTACATTTCCTATTCCGTCTATTCCGTCTATTTCCTACGACTACAAAGCCTTCCATAGGCTGTCACAGACCATTCTGCCCCGATGTCCCTTGCGTCGCCGACCCGGATCTCAATGTTTTGCGGGCGCTGCTCTCAGGTGCGTGCTCTGGACTTTTGTATTTCGTCGCGAAAGCTGCCCAGTGCCTATCCAGGGCCGAGCACGGCGACTTCCGCGAGTTCTAGCCCCGCTGATCACATTAGTTGCGTGCGCGTCTGTTAATTCCAACGCCAATGTGCTGGAAGATGAAGAGGTCATGCCTTTGTTTGAGCCGTCGTCCAATCACACTGGTAAAATTTATCACCAGACATGAACAATGGCCGTGGCTTTGGAAAGGATTTCCGGATTCCTCCGTTGGGCTTCCCCGCGAAGCATTTGAGCGTCGGTGGCATCGTTTCAGTCTGCCTCCCGGGGCATTCGTATTCCTCGCCACAGCTCAAAGACCCCGCGCGACCCCGTCGACTGCCGTCCGCTGAACAAGAAATCGGGGTGGCTGGTCAAAATCGGGTGGCGTTGTATGGCCACGTACTGGTGTTACCGCGATGTACCCGTAGAATACGGATCAGGGCATAGCGTGCACGCTGCGGGCTGCAACTGCCAACACGCTCCTTCACGTTCAGTACCCATTCTTCAGA